CTGTATTCTAATGATGTTCTACTGTTTACTATACTACAACTTGCCTGAAATAGGGGAGCAGTTGCTTTAGATGGTCGAATAGAGCCTGGTGACATGATTCTTCAAGTCAATGACATTAATTTTGAAAATATGTCCAATGATGAAGCTGTGAGAGTATTACGCGAGGTTGTGCAAAAACCAGGGTAAGACTTTCGATTGTGATACCTTTATCCATTAATGGTATATAATGTTTTGAAAAATATGAAATTTATTGAGATAAGATTGTGTGTTATATCGTGCTTCTTTTTTTAGACCAATAAAACTTGTCGTTGCAAAATGTTGGGATCCAAATCCAAAAGGTTACTTTACGATACCTCGTACAGAACCGGTACGTCCCATAGATCCTGGTGCATGGGTAGCACACACAGCCGCTATACGAGGCGAAGGTTTTCCGCCTCGTCCACCAAGTGCCACAACATTAACTTCAACTTCGAGCAGTCTTGCAAGTACATTGCCAGATACTGAACGTAAGTTATATTACAGTGTGAGAAATTAAAGAAAGAAAGAAAGAGAGAGGAGAGTTTTAATATTTTACATTGTAATGCAACTTACATTCAATATCTGACTGTGTGTGTGTGTGTGTGTGTGTGCGCGTGTGTGCGTGCGTGTATGTGTGTGCGTGTGCTGGGGCGTACGCGTGCGCGCGCGTGTGCGTATGCGTGTGCGTGTGCGTGCGTGTGCGTGCGTGTGCGTGCGTGTGCGTGTGCGTGCTGTGCGTACGCGTGCGCGTGCGTGTGCGTGTGCGTGTGCGTGCGTGTGCGTGTGCGTGTGCGTGTGTGTGTGATATCATTATTTTTCGTTTACTTATTTTTTAGTTATTATTACAATATAAATAGTAAGCAAATGTTAAGAAAATCCGCATATTCGTGCTCTTACGCACTTTTAAGGGGTGAAACATCCCTTAGAAAAAAATCGGTTTTTTTATTTCAATACGAATATCATCGAAATTACGAGAGATAGAAAAAAATGTTCTGAACAAAATGTTGAATAGCTTTAAAAGTACTTCATAATTATAATTTAAAATAATTTTTTTATTGTTAATTTTTTGTTTATCTATACTACCAATTTTTTTTAATTTTTTAAATTTTTTTTACAAAATTAAAGGTTATTTTAAGACGAATTCAACCATGTGTGGTAAAGTTATTTTCCGAAGTATCAGTTTCGAAAAATCAGGAAACACGGTAGTGGCTTGGTGTCAGGTTTAAACTAACTAAATAAACTATATCAGTCAACCTATATCAGTCAAGCCATGCCGGATCTCTTAACGCGAGCCGTCGCTTTGCGAGCATCCGAGATTATGAGATCTTAATAACGGTCGAACCGATTCATTTCCAAGTAAGCTTAATCGACAGCTTGGGTTCGATTTGTGTAATAAAAGTGCTTTTATTTTTCTTCTACGTGCCCTACAAGCGGAGATATTGCAATGCAAAGTCCGAAATGTAGGAATTTCAGATTAAGAAATGTCGTCATTATCATCGTCGTCGTCGTCGCCCAGTTGCGGGATGGGGGAAGTGTACTTTTACAATTTCTGACGCAAGAGACGTTAGAGCGCTAGGATTTTTAACCTTGCAGCCTCGCATGTTTCGATCGATGTATACATATATATATATCGATCGATTGATGTGATGACAACCTAGATCAGTGTGTGTTTAATGATATTTTTATTATGATTGGTTTCTGCACTTAAATCCAGAAAATATAAATAAAAGCAAGAATCAATCATACTAATTAAAGATTTACTGAGCACTCACTAATCTGTTCTCTCTGCTGAACGCATATATTTTTTCCAGTGACAAGTGAGATTATTGTTACTGTGTGTCTCTTTTTCGATGTATATATATCTCGGATTAATGTTTGCGGAGGATCTTTTACTCGAGAAGAATTACCCCGTTGCATATCCTATTCTTATAATTTTTTTACTTACTGCCATAACAGAAATGTAAATCATCTGTTAGACGAAGATTACAGATACAGATAAGTATGTTAAAAAACATTTCTTATTGCATTATATTTATAATATATTATTGCTATAATTAACTATATATGTATTTATTTATATTGTTAAAACTAATAGTTTATTTTAGTAGAAAGATAAAAGGTCAGATCCATCTACATTATCTCTTTTATTAATTATATCTTTCCGTGTGATAGAGGTTACAATAATCTCTGTCATGAGCTTAGTAAAAAAATCACGAAAATAGGATAACATGCAACGGAGCAATTCTTCTCGAGTAAAAGATCCTCTGTGAACAGGTATTAATCCGAAGTATATCATTCATAATTCACTCAAGGAAAATTTCCCTGTTGCATATCCTATTCTTATGATTTTTTTATTGGGCTTATAACAGATATAAACCGTCTATTAGATGAATCCATATTACAGATAAGGTATTATTATCCAAAAGAATA